AATAAAGAGTAATTTACACCATATTTGTCTTCAATTGCATTTGTCTTTAGAACTAACCTTCTACAAAATATGAACTCCTTTCTACTAATCTTTACTGAGCATCTACTATGTGACCAAAATCTCACAGATTTTACCTCATTTAAACCACGTGAGGTTAGGAGTTGTCAGTTCAATTTTATAGGTTCAGAGAATTTAAAAAACTTACTCAAGCCACACAGTTGTTGGGAATTACAGAATACAAATACCCATGTTTCTGACTTCACAGTTCCCATGCTGCTCTAGAGGGACTCATCAACTTTGAACAGTTCCATGTAAGGGTTATGTGCACTAGCTCTGACCAAACCAGTCCCGAGTTTGAATCCCAAAACTTGCACTTTCTAGCAATGCAATGATAACAGCAAATAGCTTTGAATGTTTTCCAAGTGCTCAGCACCGTATGTGCACAATATGTCATTCAACCTTCCTGAACACTGGGAATGAGGTACCACCATTATCCATCATCCCCACTTTACAGAGGAGGAAATGGGCTTAAGAGCAATTGTGAGCAGAAATGAGATTTAAGCCCAGATGTCTGACGCCAGTGCATGTGCTCATAACTAAATGATATGAATTTTAGAAAGGAAACAAAAGTAGTTGAGGAGAAATGAATCCATTCTATGGAATGACCTATATGGTGCAGTAATTAAGAATGGGTACTCTTGGCCCTGGTTGGGTAGCTCAGTTGGTTAGAGCATTGTCCCGATACAGCAAGGTTGTGGGTTCGGTCCCCAGTCAGAGCACATATTAGAGTCAACCAATGGCCCAGCCAGAGTGGCTCAGTTGGTTGAGCGTCATCCTGTGCACTGGAAGGTTGCTGGTTCAATCCTGATCAGTGCGCATACCCAGGTTTTGGATTTGATCCCCAGTCGGGGCATGTATGGAAAGCAGCCGATTGATGTTTCTCTCTCATATCAATGTTTCTCTCACTGTCTCTCTCTCTCCCCCTTCCTCTCTTTAAGATGTACTTAGGTGAGGATTTTTTAAAAAAGAGTCAACCAATGAATGAATAAACACGTAGAACAATAAGTCAATCTGTCTTTTTCTCAAATCAATTTTTTTTTAAAAGAGTGGGCACACTGGGGCAGGCTACCTGGGGATAAATAAATCTCAGGTCCTCCACTTGCTAGATGTGTGACTTTGGGCAAGTCATTTAACCTCAGTGTAATGAGTTTGGGCAAGTCATTTAACCTCTGTGAAATGGCCATATAGCAGTACCTACCTGTATTAGTTTCCTAGAGCTGCCATAACAAAATACTATACATTGGTGCCTTAAACAACAGAAATTAATTTTCTCACAGTTCTGGAAGCTAGATCAAGTCCAAGATCAAGTTTGCTGTCGAGTTTGGTTTCTTCTGAGGCCTCTTTCCTATAGCTGCATTCTCACTGTGTCCTCCATAGTTGTCCCTTGGTCTGTGAGCTATATGTCCTAATCTCTTTTTATGAGGACAGTCATACTGCATTGGGGCTGACCCATATGACTTAATTTTACCTTAATAACCTCTTTAAAGTCCCTAGCTCTAAATGCAGTCACTTTGTGAGGTACTAGAGGTTAGGACTTCAATATATGAATTGGTGGGGAGGGCACAATTCAGCCCATAACACAATCTCATAGGATTATTATGAAGATTAAATGAACAATACATGTAAAGCAAAGATCAGGGACCTAGAATGTTTTAAGAGCTTAATAACTGTTCAACATAACTGAACACTTAACTTAGACATAAGAGTATCCAGCAAGTTATAAATCTTTCTCTGGTAGGATATTGGCTGGAAGTGCCCTGGTGGCTCTCTTCTCAGCCAGGTGCTCAGTCTGGAATCTCCTTTACCTTATGGTCCATAGTCCCCATCTTGATCCCACAGCTGTTCCATTCTGGTCTGGCCACTCCCTGAGGACAATGAGAAGCTCTCAAATTTTCTTTCTGGCCCTAGCTGGTTTGGCTCAGTGGATAGAGCGTAGGCTTATGGACTGAAGGGTCCCTGGTTCGATTCCGGTCAAGGGCATATGCCTGGGTTGCAACTTGATCCCCAGTAAGGGGTGTGCAGCTGATCAATGATTCTCTCTCATCACTGATGTTTCTATCGCTCTCTCCCTCTCCCTTCCTTTCTGAAATCAATAAAAATGTATTTTAAAAAAGTTTTTCTTTCTGTAACTGCCCCCACGGTTTGTCTTTAAAATGAGGAGACATTCTTTCCCAGCTACTCTCAGCTCAGCAAGTGCCTTTCCAATACTGCTATTTCTACTCTTTGGAAAAGCCACTTATTAAAATTTAATGACAATCACTTACTTTTATAAAGCCATTTTCAATTTACAAAGCTTTTTTCCCCATCCATTATCTCTTTTAATCCTTACAACATCTGTAGGAAGGATGTTTTTTCTCCATTTTATAAATGAAGAAAGTAGGGCTCTGAAGGGTAGCACCCTTGACCTGGGTCACACTGTTGATCAGTGGCAGAGATGGGCCTCAAATTCTGGTCTTTCAGTTCCAAGATGTTAGGAGTAGCTCACCTATTCAGGCATTCTTTTACAGTAAGCAATCCAGGATATCAGCCCTGCTCTCTTTTGGGGGGATGTAGGTAAGTTATTTGGGACTATTTTTTTTTTTGAAACAACAACTGGTCCCTTTCCCTCCTGGGGAAAAAAAAAAACAATTGGCAACCTTACATATTTTTTCCACCAAGATAGAGGTAAATTTAATCAGACTGACCCCTGTGTGAGGTCCAATATTTGGAACCCACTAGTAAAGATTATTTTTCAAAGCCCACTTTCATCTTAGCTTTTTATTTTTATAAAAATATATTTTATTGATTTTTTACAGAGAGGAAGGGAGAGAGAGATAGAGAGTTAGAAACATCGATGAGAGAGATACATCAACCAGCTGCCTCCTGCACACCTCCTACTGGGGATGTGCCCGCAACCAAGGTACACGCTCTTGACTGGAATCGAACCTGGGACCCTTACAGTCTGCAGGCCGACGCTCTATCCACTGAGCCAAACCGGTTACGGCTCTTCTTAGCTTTTTAAAATCAAAGCTTAATCCGTCCACTTTATAGATGGGGAAGCAGAGGTTCAGAGAGCGCAAGCACAAGGTCAAAGAGGTAGTAAGGAGTCAGGGTTTGTCTGAGCGCCAACCCAGGTCGCCTTGGCAGATCCTAAGCCAAAGCTATTTCCCGACAGGGAAAGAAATGACCCATGCGGCCTTCTAGGAGTGCCCCCAGGGTGTGCTCGGCCTCCCTTTGAGCCTGGATTCGGATGCTGTGTTCTTAATGATGTAGCCACTTCATGCCAGGCGCTGGGGACGGTGTAAGGGGGTAACAAACACGTTCCCACTCTCCTCCCGGTCCCCTCACCGTGGGACCTGTTCCTTGCTTGGCGGCCAGTGAACCCCCACCGCAGGCACGGGCCGCTAACAGTTTGGGGGTTCCCTCTCCCAGAGGTGTTGGCAGTTTCCTAGGAGACTCTGGGAGCCTTCAACGCCCACAAGACCCAAAGGACTGGAAGCGTATAGTGCAACTTGAGGCGCTGTGATAGGCTGTAAGGAAGGTAATGTGGGAGAGAGAGATCAGTTCAAACCCTATCAAATAACACCGCGTTCGGCCCCGCCCCATTCCCATGGACTTTGCGGGGACCCACAGCCCCACAATTTAGGCTGGAAGAAGGGGGGCCCCCAAACCAGAGGGCCCTACCGTGCAGGGGACTTACTGCTCCTGCTGGGCGCCCTGCGGTTCCGCACCACCCCGACTATGCTTGTAAGCCTTGAGCTGGCTTCAGGTTGAGCAGCACTCTCCCTGTGAGAGTGCACTGACCACCAGGGGGCAGCTCCTGCATTGAGCGCGCCCCTCCCAGCCCAGACTGCCTGCCGACCCCGGTCCCTCGTCCCCTGGGCCTGGCAAACCTCTCTGCCCAGCCCTGGCGCGCCAGTCCTAGGCTCCCTCCCAGCTACATCCTACCCTGGCTTGTGAGGAGCCCCTCGGACCCCCCCACCCCGGGTCCAGACCCTGCAGTCCCAGCCCCCGACTCCTATGTGGCCTCACCCTGATCCCCCTACTTCTCTTTCTTAGA